CACGAAGCTCGTCGAAGGTCCGCAGCCTTTGTACTCTCCAAGTGCTATGCCGAATCGTTACTTCCATGGCCCGAAAGAAGATCCCGACACTGAAGACCACTCGGATCAATCATGGTCACGCACCTTCATGGCTTTCATCGCCTTCATGGCCTAGCAAACAAGGTATCTGGGGCTACTTCACAGAAGCCACTACCAACGTCCCCGCATGAGCAAGTTTCGAAATAGCTACCGCACGTTGTACAGTGTTCTACATTGCTCCTGCTCGGGGCTTTCATCTTGCTCCCTTGTGAAGAGACCTGCAATATCCACGAATCCCAAATCCTCTTGCCTTCATGGCTTTCATGGCCTTCATGTTGCCACGTTTCTCGCAGAAAAATCTGCGATGGAGCAATGCAATCGGAACCGCGGAAGGCTCACGTGGGCACTAACCCCACTAAACATCCCCAAAGACCACCAGAAACAAAAGTCCCCTCGAATGCACTCTGAGCTTGATCGCCGAAATGGCGCTCCAGCACGTCGACAGAAACGAAACGATTTGCCGGCCGTATCACAAGCATCCCTACGGGCGTGAAGCATACAAACTGCCGGTTTCCCCAACTCGCCGCTTTTGTAGCGGTCACTCACACAGATCATCACGAGCCTACTCACTCCATGATTGTTTCAGTTGCGGCCCTATGGATCCGCAGCATACAATTTGGGATTGCCGGCCAACGATGCTGATACCGGATGGCATGCCCAGCACGGGTATGGCACACATCGCGGCCACATCAGCCATTGCACACATCGGCCTTGCAATATCTTCCCAGCCCGTTCCCAGTACGGCACTACGCAAGTCACTCCATGCCGGACATTCCAATATCGGTGACACTCGGACTCATCATGAGCATGGCAATGCGGACACAGGCTCGACAATCGTCCCCTGCGGAGGATCTACGCATCCTGGCAGCAGCTAAAGCAGCACCCTGTTGCAGAAACAATGCCATAGCTTGATCTGGCGCATCTAAGGCAGCATGAGTGATAGCCATCAGGCGCCGGACCGCGGACTCCACATGACACATGTCGCGCCTACGGCTAGCCGCTCGGCTCAACATCTGGTGTCGCATGCGCTCCCGCAACTCATGCAGTAGCCGGTCACTACAATGCCTAGTCGCGCGTCGATGTTCCTCACACATCTCACGGAAAGCTTGCTGGGCCTGTGCAAACCAGTCAGACTCGGTGGTGTCAGAGCGTCCGCACTCCTGGACGCTCGCCTTCCACCGCTCCCGGCGTTCCTGCACTGTTTGATCACTCACCAAGGACCACTCATGGCCCGCGTGGTCTCCGCCAGTTGGCCCACTCCTGCATCCGAGATCACCCAATGCACGAGTGAAACAGGCGCAAAAGCTGCCGTCTCCTGTCTCATGCGAGCACGCCTCGTAATGTTCCCGCACCACCTCCCGAAGCGTAGGACTGGCAGTCAACACCCGAATCAAAGTCGCCAACTGCTCATGAACAATGGCTTCCGGCATCGATACTCAATGGCTTCCGGCATCGATACTCTATGAACTGGCGCAAGCAATCCCAGAGAGACCTCAAGGCATCTCCGTGTGTTCACTTGGCCACCTGATAAAGCATCGACCACCTGCATCGACCACGTTGCGCTGGTCCTGAGTAGCCGTGTGAAAATTTGCATCCCATGAAACGGCTGCATACGTGATGCCGCCCATCAGTGCCCCAACATCACGAGCCCGGTTATCCCAACCTACCGGCAACACTCGAAGCTTACCAACCGCATCAAGGAAGTTGCTACGGATGTCATCCCATTTGGCCGCACAAGCGCCCAACGAGCCGCAATCAGCCCCAACATGAAAGCAGGAGCCAAGCGTGTCAAGAGTAGCGCTACGCCCAATGGTCCGTGGCCCAACCGGAAGGTGCTGTGCCGTCGCCTCCGGTTCCATGCACACCCACGAACATTTGCCAACCTGAAGGGTCATCCGCCTCGCTTCGAGCCAACTGGCAAACTATAACTGAACGCTCTCCAACGCCAACTGGTGCGTAGAGCTGAGCCCTGCGGCCAGTGACTGCGGATGTGCCAAACCATCGGCTGGAGAACGGCCGCAAGTGCATTCGGCGCGGCGAAGTGGGATCTCCTTGCAGCAGCCCGTTTGCCGACTTCCAAGTGGCTTCGGAGGCTCGCCCTTGCAAACACCAGATGCGACGCCAGCTCATCCACGTGGACCGGAGGGCTGTGACCACGCCCTCAGGGACTCCACACCTCACCAACGAAGCGGCAGCATAATCCCAAGGCACACTGTCAAAAAATTTTGGATGTCGTTATTCACGAAGTACCTGGCTTGCTTCTGGACGCTCGCTGTTTGGCTTCGTAACAGCGCCGCCGCCACTGGAACCTGCGCACTGCTACAACTCCTAAAGCCATAGGCCTCTTCAGGCAAAGATCCTTCGAGGACGATTGCGAGGCGCTTTGCTAGTGTGCACCCGCCCAACTGCGATAAATCAATGATGTCACCGCGATGGGGCGTAGGTTACTCGCATCCTCCAGAAAATTCGCCTCGCCCTTTTTGGGAATCAGTGTCGTTACAACAGTCAAGAGGGCCGCATGAACGCAAAATCAAAGCTAGCGGCTGCCAAAACTCCGAAGGCAATGCGAGCAAGTCAGATCGTGCCCAACCATCAGCACCGGAGCAAGTGTGTGCAGGGCTGCGCGCAACCGCAGCACGCAACTCACCACCAGTCAGGTCGAGGAATGCTTCCGCACACAGGTTGGGGAAGCCCAGAGAGCCCATCGCATCGTCCCAACTAGCATCCTCCGGAGCCCTACGTACCTGCGCATGATGGGGCGCCAAACCTCTTCAACAGAGCGGAAAGCTGCCGCATTGTCGGGCACGCTTTGGAACTTCGCGTACTTCGCCTTAGCCCACCGGATCCTTGCTGATTGCGAGGTTTGCATGCGCCTGCGCCAGTTGCTGAGTGCCTCGTGTCGTTCGTGATTTTGTAATCGAGCGATTTCTTGACTGATCCTGCCGAGCCAGTGCTCAATTTGAGGTTGACCGGGCAGCTCGGCCGGTAGGCCCCCGTCCCACTCGCTCTTGACCAGCAAGATACGACGGCGAGCATTGGACCAGACGCGGGCAGCATCGCCGGCTTTGAGCCTATGAGCCCACCGGTCGACCAGATCACTCAGCCCAGGCCGTGCCTTTTCCAAACGCCTTCGGCAAACCTCATCCCCTGCTAAAGTCCCAGCACTCTCTGCACACGTGCGCAACCGCGGAACACGTGACCTTCCGAAGTGACGGCATGTCACTGTTTCACCGTTGTTGCGGCCGCAAGCCGGCAGTTTGTATGCTTCACGCCCGGCAAATCGTTTCGTTTCTGTCAACGTGCTGCAGCACGATTTCGGCGATCAAGCTCAGAGTGCAATCGAGGGGACTTTTGTTTCTGGGCGTTTTTAAATTTCTTAAAAATTATTATTCCATGTGAGCCTTCCGCGGTTCCGTTTGCATTGCTTTTTCTGCGAGAAACGTGGCCACATGAATGCTATAAAAGCCATGAAGGCAAGATGCTTTGAGATTCCTAGTTTTTGCAGGTATCTGGGCCTACCTCACAGAAGCCACTACCACCGGCCCGGCATGAGCGAGGTTCGAAATGGCTATTGCAGGTTGTACAGTGTTC